CTTCTGACTTTCATTCCAAAAGCAAGGCATTTCAAGTAAGAGTGCTCTTAAAGTATGTGAGCACATTTTTCACTGCAAAGACTGAATTAAACTAATTAGGTCAAACTATTATGCTTAAAGATTATGTCCAACCCACTTGATTAATACTTTCATTAATCTCTGGAGTAAGAATGAGAAAGAACAGTTATTCTCTAACTACAATTCCAGAAAACACTGTGTGGGCTTGTGCAGCGTGATCGTGAACAAGTCCTCTAGTGTTGAAAGAATTCAGGGCAAATACCAAGAAAAATACACGTATTCACTGCAGCAGAAAACAAAATGCAGCTGTGTACTGTTAAATACAAGCAGTGAAACAGAAGTGGCATGCTCGTAACAGTGGTAACTGCGTGGGTTAGTGAAAAACAGTCCATTCTTACGCAGGAGTATTTAATGTTTTCTTCTCAGGCTCTCATACGCAATTAAACTGGAGGGTCCCAAAGTCCCTTAATCTGATCTCCTCTACACTGGCATTTTGAGGTCATTAAATCAGACAAGTCTGCAAATAGCTTCAAATCAGTTTGGATGTGCTCAAGTACAGCAACAGCCCAAGTTGATGGAAAGTTTATTCAAGCATAGTTTTACAGGTAATTTATTCAAAGGTGAGTGTCCTGCCCATCACTGCATCTGTGGTTTGCATAGCCGTGGTACACTGGCACAATCAGAATGGTAGCACCTTCCCACCACTTTGAGAAAGTATCACTATGATGCAAAGTATTAGAAGAGGAAGTAAACTCTTCTGCTAATTTACGTAAGAGCCTGCAACTTGAAATATGGAGTGAGAAAATTATCATTTAAGTAAAATAAAAAACTTTCAGGAAACAACAATAAATAACAGTAGGCATCCAAAGGCTGAAAAGGGTATCTCCAGAAAAGGGGAAGACTGGTTGCTCATCAACTGATTACTTTCTACATATTCTGCTCACTAGAGAGTAGTAATAACATATATTTACAGAAGATAAAATATCTGGTTTGAGTGAAGGGAAGGGGAGAGGACAGGGGAAGAAGGATTAAAAGGGAGCCTCTGTATTTTAAAACTCCCTTCTGGGCCCACGTTGTGCTGCTTGAATCTCCTATGAGGTTCTGGCTAAATTCACCCCTTCCATCTTCCTGTATTTAAAAAGAAAAATGTTTGTTATTGTCATCACTCAGCCCATTACTATGGGGTTAGACAAATCCAATTGTTTCATGTCTTTATTTGCACAGGAATTCAGGAAAGGTCAGAAGTAAAACACATCAAAAGCACAGCCTGAAATACAGAAAAAAATGTTTCTCAGTACTTTGGTATGCTAAGTTATATGAATCCAGTGACTGCAACCAACATCACTGATTAAAGCCTCAGTTAGTACCAGTTCATGCTATACAGACACTGTAACCAGAGAGTTGGGTAAAACACCAGCTTGAGATGTGCCTGCTTCCCTGACATAGCATCTCTCCAAACACATGGCCAACATACGGAACTGCAGTATACCGATGAGTGCAGTGTAATGGTACAGGAACTAGAGAAAGCCCTGCATGTCCCTTTTCACTGAAATACGTTGCTTGGTTTTCCTGATCACTTTGACTGAAATCTTGCCATTAAAAAAAAAAAAAAAAAAAAAGGCAACCTGCTAGTAATGAATTAACTTGCACTTTGTCTTCCTGGTCAAAAAATGCAAACTAAGTGTGGGGCAGAATAATTTCTGTGCTGAAAACTTCAATTATACATTACCTTCCATCAATGCAACAGTCACCTGAAAGCTGATGTTAAAACAACTCCAAAGAACAGTTTAACTTGTTTCATTTATTTTAAGCAGAACTTCTTGGGTCATTCAAAAGTACCATGTATAAAACCAGCTAGAAATAAACTCTAGTATTCAAGAGAAAAAAAACAAACACTAAGATAACTAGAAATCTAAATGTAGTGAGATATTTCTAGAATATTTTCTGATCTATAACTTACCTCTTTGAATTTGTGAGCAAGCTTGCTGGTGTCCACATCACTGGGGGAGAACATGTCATCATTTTCAGGGAGATCGAATACTTCAATAGCCATGTCACCTCCTGGAAGGACAGGCCCCATGTCTTCATCTTCTTCATCTGTAGCATATTCCCCTGTCTTAATTTTATAGCATTTAAGAAGTTCCAGTTATCCTCTTTTTAAGCAGTGACTGTTCAAAGAGTAATTAAGCTACTGTGTAAATATAGCATACTGCATATGAAAAAGGTTACCTTTCTCTTTAGCTATAATCCCAGTACTTATTAATTCTTCCAGACAAAATACAACTCCAAACTAGTATTTCAGAACATTAAGAGAGAGGAGAAAGTAGTGTCTTAAGCACTAAGGATTTAGTGCTTAAGCGCTATTATCTGTATAATTCAGTGATTTTCATCCTTTTCCAAATAAGGCCTCTTTTCCATAGGAAGACCTCTCCAAATTTATCTCACATTTAACAAAGAATCTTTTCCAAACAGAAATGAAAGCAGCATAGGACTGATAGGATCTTGGTCAGTCTTTTGTAAGCCATCTGGAGGTAGTAATTCTCCATGCTGAATTTGAAAATCCAGTGGTTTCTTCTTTATAAACAAATTAATGATAGAAAAGTCACACCCACACAGAAAGACAACAGCAGAAAAGAGAAACTGAGTGTCAGAGACTGAAGTCAGAGTCTACTGAATATTCACCCTGAAAAAGGAGCTGATCTAGCTAGTTTTAAACAGAAGATGAAGGTGTTTCTTGGGCTGATAAACCATGAGAGGTGAACAATTTGCTGACAAAACAGAATTTTAAGAAAATCATAAGCTACAATCAGTATCTCAAAATTAAACAAAACAAAACAATAATATTGAAAAGAAAAAGCTTGCAATATTAAACCCAAAGTTGCCTAGACAATCTTTTCCACATACTCCTGTGTTCATCTCTCCCCATGCCTGAGGTGCCTGGGTACCACTGCACCTCAGCGCGGCTCCCTCTGGAAGCCAGAGTACATGGCATATGGATCGCGAAGAGCCTGCTGGCTATGCAAATGACTCTGCGAACATACTATAAAGCAAACACTTCCCTCAGGGCCACATCTGGATTTATAAAGCTTGGGACTCAATAAACAGATGGAAAAGGAAGGGCGGGGGAAGGGGTGCAGTCCTTCTTATGTTTATACAGTAATAACACCAGAATTTTGACTGGACTGCTCGAGTTTTTGCTCATGACCTTTCAGTTCCTGAGACAAAGGCACATAATATTATTAGCAGAAGTATATTCTCAGTAGTGCTAGGATTATCTATTAGTGCCATTTTTTGTCAAATGAACTTTTCAGAACAACACATAAGAACTCAGATGTCCGAACAACAGTTCAAATCTCAACTTCCTACCTTAATTTAGTTTCCCAGCTCTTGTTTAGGCTTATGTACATCTTTCTCAATTAAAAAGCAGTGCATAGAAGCCTGTTAAGTCTAAGTGCACATCTACACACAGACAGAAAAGATATATATGTATGTGTCCAACAACAGGGTGATATGCTTGCAATAAAACATCACCATTTCTTGGATAAATACCACATGGAAGGATAAAATGGTTTGGGTTGGAACACACCTTTGCAGATCATGAAAAATCTATATTCTCCTTTTTCTAAAACCACTAAAGTGTTAAAAAACAAAGAAGGCCAAAACACACAGAAAACATAGAATGATTTGGTAAAATCTTAATGTTAAAAGAACTATCAAAAAGAAGGTAAGTCAGCAACATGCATGACCCACCCATACTTTAAACGTCACTGTTAATACAAGCCACTTCTTACGAGGGCTATCTCTGTCACTATAAATAGTTACATATTCTCCACGGAAATAAAGAGTAAACGTTTATTTTACATACTTTTTATGTCCTAAGACAGTAGTCTTCAACAAAACAAGTTAACAGTTGTTTTTTTCTTCTTTCCTCCTTATTTAAAACAGAAGAAAAGAACACACAATCCATCTCACAACACCTGAAATCAAAATTTATCAGTCTGTATGTCTAGATCTCATACACACACACAAAATCTTCTGTTATGCCACACTTGTAGTAACTTCTGGTTTTAGTTTACTCCTCATGGCCACGTGCACTTAGTATCTAAAAAGAAAATTAGGCTGCTAACTCTCCTGGCTTTTTACAGGAGCATGTAACACCACCTTCACACACCATTAGGGTGGTGAGAAGCAGAACTAACTCTAAAATCCCAGTGAAATTTCAATGAAATGAATTACTATGGGGACAAAATACTACCACAATCTTTGTACTGTCAATTTTCCAGTCATTATCCCTGAAAAATCTATAAGGTGATGCACAACAATCATTTCTACATGAAAAAAAAAGTCTTGTCAGGTCCACCAGCAGTGGCAAGGAAATCTCTGAAGCGTGCAAAGAGGAGGCAGAAATAGGATCATTAACTGGCAAACTCATGTCCAGTTTACATAAAAAACCAGATCTGGCTCAGCTACACGTGTTTTTTAAAGGAACATATTGGTTCAATGCAAAATCCTACTTATATTTACCAACTTTGGTAAAAGAATAAAACAGATTAATTTAGTTAAAACTGATTTCTCCGAAGACTTAAACTAAAAAAGAATTATCTCATACTAAAAGAAAAAACAACACATGTGAAGGACTAAAGTTATATTGGGGAAAAAATCAAGAGTAGGCAATATGTAACTGGCCTCAGGATCCAGAGTGTTTGAAGAGAGACATCAGGCAGCTTAAAAAGAACACAAAGGAAAATCTTGCTTCAGATTGTACATAATAAGTGACAGTGGGCACAGTCATTTTTTGCTTCAATAAATGCAAAAAGTAATCATCAAAGCAAAGCATTGCAGTTTGCTTGGGTAAACAAGACAGCAGGATGACACAAACACATTACAGAACATGGAAATAAATGTGACTTTTGCTTTCGTCTTTAAAAAGGGATCTGATCTTGTAATCACATGAAACACAAATTACAGGTTCAAAAGAAATGATACGTGCTTTAAGGAAATGTATGTCATAAACTACATGAAACAGACTTTCCCTGAAAAAATGATCTCTGCTGACTTTTACTTCACATGAAACTACTAAAAGGCTGTTCAGACCCTGTGCCAGTAAGATAGAATGAGAAATTCAGTGTCTTACAAGCAGCAGCAAGGGTTGCTTCAAAATAACAAAGCCTTGTCAGGCAACAGTTGTTACTGTAACTGCCTTGCAATACATTTTGTTGTCTTAGCTGACAACAACAATATTTTTTACTCAATAACCACTGAAAACTTACATACTCTTGAAGGAAAATCTCAGACTCTTCAGTCTGTTTTGGTGAGCAAAATTCATCCATGCAAAAGACCTGTTTCTCATTTCAGTAGCACGTAGGGCTTAAGCTTATCCCATCCATAGCAATAGCTTCTGATACTAGCCATTCAATTTTGCTATATGCTATCACAGCTAATAGCATGAAATTATCTTTATAAACACGAACTGCAACTTCCCACTGCAAAAGGGAAAATGCCTTACTCACATTGTTTAACTGCCTTGTAAATTCTTGAAATGGGCCTAATATGCCCAAGCAGAAAAAAGGAGAAGCAGCAACAGCCAGGATAATGCAGACACACCTCCCCCAAATCACCATAAGAAAGGCTGCATCAAGCTGAAATCTTCTGTTTGTGCTGAAACTCTCCCACAATCAGGGAACACCATTTGAAGCACTATAAAAATAACTCAAACCCATCCCTTCATTTGATATTTTTTTTAATAGTTTATCCTTAACTCTTTCAAAAAAGTGAAGAAAAATATAATGGTATAGTATCAATCATTGCTTTTACAGGAGTGTTTCATATTAATGATGCTGGAAAAAAATGCACTTTCTGAAAGATCTTGTTTAACAAATGTATTCTTTGGGTGTTAGACATTCAAGCACATTGCAACATTTTTATTTTCTTGTGTGTCAAGATTTTCTTCAACAGTTCTAATGTTGGTTTGCTCTCAGAATGTCCTGATAAATGAGAATTAAAACTGAAAAAATATTCAAATAACTATTAGTGATATCAAAATAGATAAAAATGTTATTTGCATAAAACCACTTGTCTGTGGCCACAGAGTGAACAGAACTCTGTAATACGTTATTAATTTCACATCCTGCATCACCATATGCAGCCTTCAGGGGAACAGGTCATCTGCTTTATGTGACTTTTGCCATTCACTGTAGAACACAAAGAAGATAATACCATGTTAAATCAAAATTCCAATAAATGGCAGAATTTGACTAAAATGTGCACAGAACACTGTGTTAGCACAGGGAAGTGAAAAGGTTTCAGTCAAGGATATAGACTCAGGTTGTACTTACACTAAATAGGAAATACAAAGACAGTGCCTACTTCAAAGACTTTGTTTTCTAAAAGGATACAACAAATCAAAGGATGCAGGATTTAGGAAGCTAGATGAACTGGTGATGAGTAAACTCTGCAGCAGGCTATCTAAAGGCAGCACCTAGAACAACATACTCTCCCAGCTGTATTGTAGTTAGCACAGGCACACTGGGAAATGCCAGCACTGCCTATCATAAGTAGTCCTTGAGAAATAACTGATACTACTGGCTCTGCTTGGCTCATGGGAGCTTAACAAATTGTAAGCTCTTGCATATTCCTCCTGCTTTTCTTTGCATAGGCCACATTGTGGGCATCCCTCTTCATCTGGTGCTTGTCATTTCTGCACAAAGTTCTTGTGTTTCCATGCAAAGACTTAAATGGAAGAGCATCCGAAAGCATCCTGCAACCCTGTGGCGACCCATGATGACCGCAGATTCTAAAGTGCAGGTATGCAGGGCATTTACATAGTAAATAATGTTTCTTTCAGGATTACTTATATAGTAAATGATGTGTCTTTTGGAAATGTCACATGTATTAGTGTGAATCTTCCCCAAAAAATAACTGTCATGTAACGTCCTGCAAGGCAATGGAATGAGAGGTTACAGCAGGCTAACAAGTGTCTCGCTAATTTAGCATCTGACTCAAGCCCAGTCCACACTGTCAGAAATCAAAATGGTCTCAATAATGCTGTTATTTTAAAGAACTCAGATCTTTATAAAATAGCTAGATGATGCTTGGGCTACGGCGAAGATTATCCTGAGTTTCAAAAACAGAGGAAATCCAGACAGCCAGTGACACAGCAAGATAAAACACCAGGACTTGCACATGCCTGGCACACGCTCTCTTCCTGTGATTTGATCAGCTCTACCAAGCACAACCATGTGCAGTGACTGCAGGACTCAAACACAGATGACTGATTTCTTGCTCTGGAAACCTGATATGTTATTGCTGTTTTTGTGGTAAAGTCTCTGAGGTTCAGAATTTGACAGCCTCAATTGAAGGTTGAATAAAGATCATTTTCTTGTTTATTTATGCAGCATTGTAGCTGGAGATCCACGTTCCCACATTTTAAGAACTGTATAAAAATGTACAGGAGTTTGACAGCTCAGAGACTGAGCAACTCCTGTGTAATTCTGTGCCACCTCAGCACAAAACTCCTAACACTGGTAATCCAAATATCCCGAATTTCATGCAGTCAGAAACACTATCACTTTGAGGAAACAGACTTGAAAGGGTAGTGTTTTTTGTATATTTGTGGGTATTCATTCTGACAGTGTAAATTGAAATTTTCTTGCCCAAAAGATGCCTTGCTTACCACAGCCAAAAAATGCAGGGCTGGCAGTGGTGCATGGCATATAATGACATAAAACCAACCACATTTGCCCTCATAGAGCAAGGTGAGCTCAAAGTAGTAATGCTTGTATTTGACAGCAAATGGAGAAGTGCTTGTGGTGGCCAAAAATGTTTTTGAACTGTGCCTAATGTGCATTAGATCACAGCTTCCATCATGTCAATTGCCTGGGCATGGTATAAGTTATGTGAGTTCACGCAGACAGCGCAGTCAGGCAACAAATAAAATACATTTAGGACTGCTGCAGGTTCCCAATAAAATCTACTTCTGATATGCCTGTTAATTAAGAAAGAGAACATTCCTCATTGCATACTTTAGCAACAACACCTCAGCTGTTTATTCTGAGAATAAGGTTTACCACCCACCTCCTACATATATATACGGCATCAAGTAGGAAATGGGGATGATCTTCAGTGATCCCAATGTAGTTTTTGAGAACTGAACTACTGTATTTGTTCTTAAGCCTAATTCCTTCTCCTTCCAAAGAGATCTTTGATGATACTCTGGATCTCCTCTAGTAGATGTCCTTTCCTTTTTTTCTTTCTCCTTTCCTCACATACTGCATAAAAGTCCCCTTTGTACTGCAAACGCTAATGGCCATAAAGCACACCTCATGGTCACAGCGGTGGTCAACATCCTCAGTGTAGTGCTACAATAAGAAAAGATGCCTTTAACTCTGTTAATTACTTGCCCTATCTTATTTTCTGTGTCACCTAAAAGGCACTACCAATAGAAAACACTTCATGCATTTAGCATTGTTTGTATTAAAAATTTATGCAGTGAACAGGGCTTAAGAGTTTGTATCCATTGAATTGCAAGGACAAGACAACACATCACCAAAAGTATCTGATACCTACTTATTCCTGTCATCTTTCACTGTTGTACTGAGAAATACCTGCATGGTCATCACTACAAAAGTGTCACTGTTGGCATGAGCACAGCAACAATCCCTACCAAAGGCTGAGGCACTACCAGGATGAGTAGTTAATCACTACCATGATTTAACAAAGTTTTCTTTATTGCCAGATCTTGAGTTATGACATCCGCATGGTGCATGAAGCAACACAAACCTTTGAGATTTTTTGTAGGTGGAAAAGGTGTTAATGCATCAACTACTCACATAGGTCTGCCTCCAGCCACACATCCCTCTACATGCAAGCACACAGTGAGAAGGATTTCAACATCAGACATTTAGGACACACCTCTCCTGCCAATATGAAAGCTATCAGACTATGTGTACCATAAATGATATCACAAGTCTTCAAATGCTGATGTCTACAGCACGCTGTGATGGGTTGTGAGAAGTCTCTTGTTCCAAAGGCTAGACAGAGTTGTCTCTTTTTGTTTTTGAGATGATAGAGTTCTTTCAAGGAATTAGTCAAGATACTGAATTTTAATTCTAGACTAAACGTAAGTTAGAAGACTTGCACATTTCTATAGTTTGAGGAGGGCACAGAGAGGATAAGTTTCTTCTAGCCTTCATGGTCTTGCACAGGCACACATACATATGCATCTCCAATACCGGTGAGTAAAACTTTTATTTATATGAGTCAAATATGCAACTATGAGAGGATTCCTTCTAAAACATATTAAAATATTTTTATTTTTAGTATCAGTGGAAATTGAAGTAAGTGAAAGCATCACTTGGGCTAGACAGGATTTTTACTTAGTGTTCATTTCCAATAATTCTGATGTATTGCTAGTTTGATGGTGTGTTTCAAAATCTGAGCGTACCCTGGTCTAATCTCAGAATATTTTTTCTTTTGTATTTCACTGTTAAGAAGCCTTGCCTCAGTACCTAAAGGAAAACTAAACTGAAATAAATACATAGCATGAATTCTCTCTCTTTTCCCTTCTCTGTTGCTGCCTTCCACAAATAAAAGAAAAAATCTGGCCTAGAACAAAAACACACTAATACATGTAGTCTGGCATTTCCAATAATGTTATTCAAGATAATGTGAAATGAAGGAGGTATGCTTGGGCTACGTGGAAGCAGTTTGTTACAACAACTCCCTTTTACCTTAACCCAGCAGCTAATTTAGGGAATAACACAGACAACAGTCTCTGGAAAAGCTCTCTTAAGCCTTTCCAAGCATCTTAGTATTTAAGCATAGGAGGAATTTTAAGAGAACGAAAAGAAATTATGGAAAATTTACTGTATAAAGTTGATAGTTTCAAAACCTTTGCACTGGGACATCAGGCACTAATTGTGAACATCAGCACATGCTTCAGACAAGGTAGATTAATTCTCCATCCTGTGCAATATCTGTTCACACGGAAACAAACAAAAAGCAGTGTGTGGAAAGAGGGCTCTTACTTGGAATTTTTAGAAAATTTCTTAATGTTCTGAATTAAGAAGAACATCGGTTCTTCTAGGAAAAAAAAGGTCTAAAACTTCCTCAACCTCCTAAAAGTTAGAAGGTTATTTTTACCAGTTTCCACAAAAAACTATCAGTTCACAAGCAAACCAACTTTATTCCCTCATTTCAGACAAAGCATACACCTTCAGAGGAAGAGCAATGATTACAAAAATATTGACCAATTTGATATTTGCTCTTCTGGAACAAAACAAATATTTTTAAATCGATGCTGAGAAGCTTTTCAGTAACTTTGTTCTTCAAATAAGACTCATCATCAAAATCTGCAAGATCAGCAGCAGACGTAATGGGAGGGCCAGAAGTTGACCTCTGAGTGACAATTAAAAAGTAGGAATTAGGAATAGAAAACAGAACATTAAAAAACATGGAATACTGAAACACTGGACAGTCTGTTACCTCATCATCATCTGCATCATATTGTGCATAATGCTGCTCCAGCAGCTCTCTCTGGCGGCGTTCTTGTTCTAGAGTTTGGCTAATCAGCTGTGCAACCTCACTCACTTGTCCCGGTTTTTCTCGTCCAATTACAAACCTATACAAAACATTAGTGAAAAAATATTACTCCTATTGTTTTACCAAAGTTCTTGATTTTTAGCTGTGGCTTGTATAAAGCGTAGCCATTTTCACCTAAGATACATGGCTGGGATTGCTTTAAATGTGTTCTGTGGGTGACATTTGCCTGAAGGACACTGTGTGCAAGATTAGGAGTGATCAGACCATGACAGTATTTACAGGGCGAGGGGAAAAATAAGTTACCACTAAAGCCTTCACTCCAAATTTCAGTAAAAAAGATTCACTGAGTTTGAACTTCATGGACACAGACCCAAAGTGGGCAATTTAAAAAAACATGTATCATCACTTCCATTCCCTTTCCCAGAAGCCTACAGAACACCAGATGCACAGTAACAGCACAGACACACTTCTGGCAGCTTGTAGTGAAAGGAACATGCACCAGAGCAAATTCTTTCTCCATCTTGACTTAGAAGGTATTTCTGAGCTTTTATATTTGCCTTCTGCCTGTCTATAACAGAGAATCTATTTCCACATTTTTAAATCTGACAGACACTACTTCCCTAATTTTAAGCAGCATTTAAATTAAGCAGCATTTAAATCTTTCTTTTATTTCATGAACTTCTGTTGCTAGGGAGCATTTTTTTCCACAGTTAGCTTTTGCTGAACACTGGGAGCACATTTCTTTGGCTTAACAAAAGACAAGGGAAGTGCCTCTTTCTTGGTTGAGACTTACAAGACTGCTTCCCAATCTTGCTTTCAGCAACTGAAATTCAGAATTGGCTTGGACTGTAACATTTTCCTCCAGCACAGTGGCATAACCACAATTAGATATTTTGCCATCTATAATATTAATGATAAAACACTCATTATACAGTACCAACACACTGTAAACTACTGAACAAAAGCACAATTTAAAGATGTCAAGCTGAAGGAATATTTTCTTAGCAGGCTAGAAAGACAATGAGGTAATTACAGGTGAAAAAAGCATTATGCAGAGCTGAAAAGCATGATCAGGTGACACCAAGATATATGGTAAATTATTTGTTTCCACAAGATTTGGCTCAAATGATGAATTTAATTTATTATTAGAATGAGAGGTAGAAATGTGCATTATATCCCATGTAAGAAAATTATGTTCATTAGTACTGTCTATCACTGTTAAAGTCATTTGGGATTTGGCATCCATGTGTAAGCCAACTTCGCATGAGTGGATGACCCTGAGTCAATTTCCTATGCCAAACAATTTGTCAGACTCTAAGAAGTCAGGCACTACAGAAGGGAATACAATTTGGAGATCATTTCATCATCATCAAAATATCCAAGTCAGTGATGACTCCCAAAAGATACAAAAGGCGAGAGTGAGTGATTCCATTTGAAATAATAACACAAGGTGTTCTGAAAATGATTTGGAAGGAAATGTCCTGGTTTAAAAATATTTATAGAAAATACAGCAGAAACTAGAATAAAACTAAGGAAATAAAATCAGCATTTTAATCCTGATCAAAACAGATCACAGTCTGGCACTCATATCCTGCTATTGCGAAATGTGGTATTGGTTCTCAGTAATAATAAAGACCTTGGTCTGAAACAAAAAGAATGTTTCTTCATGGCCACTATACTTCATCTGTTCTGCATACTGACTCATAGTTGGATCCTGTTTCCTCTGAATTTTAATTTTAGAGCCAAGTATTACAAAGACTAAACCAGCCATGTTTTCAGTCTCAACTGGGAGGAACAATGAATGTTTGATATTACTACATGAAGTAAAAAAGGATTCAACTCATATTTGCTATGTATTTGTCTCCTCTAATGATGGAAAAACACTAGTTCTATTTTAAACAAACATTTAAAGCAAAATTATGCATGAGTGTATTATTTATACACAGTAGAGAGAGCATCACCTTTATAAACACGAGGGAGATGACCAATGTGGTAAATTATGGAACCACACAAAGTGATGCAAATATCATTCCCACCTGCTCTTTGCCTGATAATTCACCTCCCTTGGAAAATAAGAGACTTGTAATAGTTCCTACAGTCATTTTGTACACTGAAAACCTAGAACAAATAATATATCATGCATCAGAAGTCTGTTAACTCCTGATTATTTAGGAGTGGCTTTGACACATTAGAGTGCAATGCAATAATATGTTCATATGACAAACAAGTTTAGGAAGGATGTAAAAATTCAAAACTTATTAATTGAACTTTTCTTCTTATGCTAAAGCCACTCACAGTTTATAGTGATGTGATGTGATGTGATGTGATGTGATGTGATGTGATGTGATGTGATGTGATTTTCAAGGCTTGAATCATATGTCAAAATGAAGTTCCTCAATGATACCTGAAGCTGTTAGATGATACAGGAATAGAAGCCTCAAAGCAATGACAGTTTAAAGCAAATGGTTTCCAAAACAGAAATATGCAAGGAATGTTTCATTTTCCTACAATTTAATGCTTTAAAGTGAGATATTTCCAAAGTGTCTGAAAATAAACATTTAGAAGCATTCAATCCATGACTGATGTCAGTCCTAGATTAAAAATTGTTTGTAAAATGGAATACTATGTAGCAACCAATTACAGTTTTCACAAACTAAACCAAACCTTTTGTCATGTTACACTGCATGACCTTAAGAATACCATGCTGCATATAATTATGTTTAACTTGTAATTAAAATAAGTTATAAATTGTAAATTTATAATTTAAAGATAGAGGAATAAATATTTCTTTCTTAGGAGACTGTAAAGCAGAGGCAGTTATTAAAATGCTAAGCACGAATTAGATCTTTACACCTAGAATGGCTTTAAATACAAGAACTATCATAATCTGAAGTGTTTAAATATGAAAAAGAGACATAAGGTTGTGGTTCACTGACCAGAAAATTAGTCACTGAACCATAATATGCACACTTCAATGAAGTGGCTAATTATGTATTTCCCATCACTCTGGCTCACCAAAATTAAGCACATAGATTTCAGACTTGATTAATTAGTCTCAAGGGCCAAAAGTATTATAACAAAGAACTACACAGTCTATCAGCAATCATGTATTTAAGAAGCTGGTTATGTTTCTGGATCTGAGACAAATGAGGGTTTTAAAGCCTTTAAACCTCATCACAACAATATTCCCCTTAATTATTAAAGCCAGCAACTGCAAAATAAAACCCAGCAAATCTGTGATGCTGTACTACAAGCCATCACTGCATTAAATCTCAGGACACTACTGATTATTTCTGAGGTCCACAAAAAGAGAGAGGAAAGAGTATCACAGAGAAGCAGGGCATGAACTGACCTTGATATTAAGAGTTACACACAATCTAGCTGAATCGCCAGCTGTGAAATATCCTCTTTGTTTGTGGTTAAAATAAACAGGGACAGAGTTAGGAATATAATTAATATTTGACTCTATCTTGGGATTTAAGAAGATCTAAAAGAATACAATATCTGGAGAAAATGAAAACTAAACGACAGTAATGGTGGTTAAGAAAAGCACTCTACTGAAACTGGTAGCAACTCCTACCTCTCCTGCAATCCAGTCATGGTTTAATGATTTTAAGGCACACCTGATATACGGCTTTCTGCATATTTACAGCTTTTATTAAATGAGGATCTGCAGACCTGTGCTTCTTGAAATAACAAAAAATAATTTATTGATTTTTTTTTTACCAACCACAGGAACCAGAAACATTATTATAAGGATTGATTAAATTAAAACATATTTCAATTTTGAAAAGAACTTTGGTACTAGAAAAATGTGTGAAGGAACCAACTCTGTGACACAAAACTGAAGTGCTGCAGCACGGATTTTTAGTGATATGAGTTGATGATTTCTCCTAAAAATATTTCAGGCATTAAGTGCTCAGTTAAAAATAATTTAGCACGGATTCCTTAAATTCAACAAAAATCAAGTAAGAACACAGCAGACACATTCTAAGAAATAAGGAATGCCTTTTTTGGTACAACAGGATTCACATTTTTTTTCTTCTAACCTTTCCTAAAATCCAGTTTGGTCAATAAAAATGTCCAGGAAATTTCTATGTATTTGGAGGAGTTTTAGAGACGGACTTTAAAAATCATTCTCTGAGCTTTAAAACTGCTTCTGCTACCATTTATCTAATTTATTTCAAGATGTCTTCAATTACTTACTCTAGCTGCTTCCATTAGGATAATAGCCATATAATTAATCCAAAGTGCTAAAAGTGGTGTGAACCCTGTAAGAAGGCAGTTTTATTTAGTTACAGCAGTGCAAGCTGGAACTTGTCAGGTTTTCATGAACAAGATCAAGCTCTCTTAAAAACCAGCAGCCTCAAATGCAGAGGCTGCTGACTGGACATAAGGTGTTCACAACCTATGAGCTTCAATTGCACTTTTTCAGATAAAGTGATCTGAAACTTAGGAGTCATAAAGACTCTTTCAATCATTGAATAATTTAGGTTGGAAGGGAGCTCTGGTCCACCTCAAGCCCCCTCACTTCAAAGCAGGGCCAACTTTGTCATAGCCTTGATCAGTTTTCAGTCTCTCTAGTGATTGGATGCAACCCGTTCCAATGTTTGAGAAACCTCACAGTACAGTTTTTTTTGGGAAAATATCTAGTCAAAACTTGCCTTGCTGCAACTACTGTTCATTGCCTGTTACCTTGTCCCTGTACAGAGAGTACAAAGAATCTGGGTTCACCCTTTCTACCTCCTGGAAGGTAGCTGAGAGAGGAGTAAGATTCCTGCCATCCCATTCTTTTTTTTTGGACTGGATGTTCTTTCCACCTCTTCCCAGGATGTCTCATGCACAGCTGCTCTCTAGCTCACAGTGTCGCACAGGGCTACGCTGCTCCAGATGCATAATTCACATCTGGCCCTGCTTCATAAGGTTTCTGCCAGCTCATTTCTCCAGCCTATTGAGGTCCCTCTGAACAGCAGCCCCATCTGTTAGCCTATCTAACCTCATCTGCAAACTTGCTAAAGGTGCCTTCTGTCTTATGTCTGCAAATCCACACAGCCCTCCCTTGCACCAGAGGCAAGTGTG